GAACAGTACTTCTAAAAGGCAGTTTTTAAGTGAACTAAGGGGTAGAGGAAAAATTAATCTTAATTACTGGAATTATAATGAGGCTGATTCAAATGTGCAAGGTCTATGCTAATTAAGCAATTATTATGATTTGAACCTTTACTATAACTTCTTCTTACTGTACTCTTAACCAAAATGCAAACTAGTTGTTTGACTAAATAAGCTAAGAATTTCAATGTTTTAGAGTTAGAACTTTTGGCAGCCTCCCTTGGAGTTACATCCTATAGCCAACTCTGCCAAAACTTTTTTCTGGCTTAGCCATTTTGTTAACAGAGGTTAATTAATTGAGCTTAAAGATGTAAGGTATTTTCCCCCTCCTTTCCGCATTCCTTCGTTATGTAATTGGAAACATACTCGACGCATATTCGAGAGGTCCACGGTTCGAGTTCCGGCGAGGACGTTGAATATATTTCACGTTACAGAATCGATAGAATCCTAATGACTCCACAAATAGACCATCTGTATAGTCTCCGACTACGTTACTTACGAGTTTCACTTATGTTATTTACCCGCAAGTGGACGAGTTTTGTTTTGTAACTCAAGTGGTGCCTTCTATAAGATCTAAGGAGTTAACAAAAAGGTTACTTTAAACTTCGTAGGACTTTGTCATCTTGATTGAGATTAGAGTTGTAATTTGCTTGCCAATCTAAGAGGGTTTGAAGGACTTTGCTTTAAGCTTCTGCACAAGCAAAACTCTAAATCTGGCGTGGCCAGTGCTGAATAGATAAGTACCCACCATTGGATAAAAATAAGAGTTTCTACAGCACAAAAAATTTTAACGGAAGGATTCTGGTATATTGTGGACATTATGCGTGCATCAGTAGAACCACCCAGTTGCTTGATTATAGAAACTCGGTTTTTCACATTTATCGATATCTTAATTATCGATATCTAAAAATATTGAAGTGGTCTATTGCATATGGGCTATTGTGAAAGTGGTCTATTGCATGACCGTCCTACAAGTCAAAAACTAGCGATGACCATAAAGTTTGAAGCTTTGTTCTCTCCCACTTGAACAGCTCCTCTACCACTAATGTAAAAACGGGTTTTCTTCCTCTTCCCAGCCAAATATCAATGAACCTGGTGTTTCAAATTTCATCATTTTGAGGAGCCCTATAGCAATGATTGAAAGTTTTCTAAGAACCTTTAGATTCCGAAATGTCCGTAAAGGAGCTGGTATAAAACCGGCATTTTGCTAAGAGAATTAACTCATGAAGAGCGATTTTGCAAACTGCTTATGATTGTGAATGGCGACTCCGATGAAAACACGTTCTCCTCCAGTAATTGCAAGTTTTGTAACTGTTGGTGCGTGGCGTTGAAAACATTTGCATGTGTTCTACTGGTATTTTACAGTAAAATGCCCCCTAGTAGGATACTTGGAACTAATTTGATTTTTTTGAAAGATGTTTTTCCTATCCTTTTATTACGACAAACGCAAAGTTTCACACTTTCCAGAGGACTTACGTGACTCTAGGCACCTCTGAGTAGGGAAATTTTAATTATGGACGCCCTATACATTTTAGAAGTATGAAAACGATAGCGATGTCTTATTTTGTGAAAATAGCGTTCAAAATTATATTTATTATGATATTTAATTTCTGAAAGTGTTTAATGCCAAGCATTCTTGCTTACTCTGAAAAACTTTACTGTAAGTCTAGAGTCCAGATATCAAAGGCAGGGTTTGGCTGGTATGTTGATGTTAATCTTTTTTTGCAGGATTCGCTGTTCGTGCCTATAGTTATAAGTTTTATGACCTATACCAAAACGAAATTTAAAAGTATTTTGCAATGTTTTCGGGGAAAAGAGGATCCTCATTTTCGCTCTGACCACCATGTGATACAGACGCTCTCTCCTAATATCATTACTCCTAGTAAAAAATGTTTCTTGGCCTACCCTCTATTTTACGATTCTGAAAATGCAGCCTTACCCATTCGACACTGATATCATCTGCGCGCAGGCGCTTGCAAAGACAAAGTTTACCCAGATTAGCATGTTTATGAGTTAAGGGAAATTTTATAGGGATGTGCGTTAAAATCAGTTCTTACATTTGAATCTCCCCATTTATGCTTGTGCTTGTTTTTTGTTATTGTTTAAATTCTGTTAATTTAAAGTAGATCTCACTCATTTAATTTTTATTTGGTTATCTTTATATGGTGTCATAAGCTTTCTGTGTAATTGTGTAATATCTGTAAGGTACTGTTGAACTGGGCAGTAACAGAAATGATAATACTAAACAGCCGAGAAATTGGATAGGATCAAACATTCTGCTAAAAACAACAAGGGGGGACAGACCAGTTGGCTAGACAGCTACTATTAACAAAAATAAAATTCATTTTAATTTACGATCTCTAAATGATTCTGAGCAGCACAAATCGATAAACCGTTGTCATATTTGGTTCTTCCGATTGCTTGAAATTACTCCTATCCTGTGACTTTGTGGATCCTTATGATTACTTGAAATCGTCACGAGATAAAATGGGAGGAAACTGCCCTTCTTGGAGGTGCGATATACGCGATTACAACTGAAAGGGTCGTCTGTAGCACATCCTCTTTAGTTTTCTATTGATAAATTTGGAAATTCTAGAGTCAGACTACCTTATCGATGAATTAAAATACTGTACATGAATGAAATTGTGTCTGCTTATGAAAGAGACCTGACCGTAAGTGAAAAATCGCAAAAGAATTACAAGATGTTGGATCATTTACATTGCGAACGGAGCATTTAAGAGATACTAAATTATGGTAGGAGTTGTATAACATCATTTGGGATCTAGTTCGGTTTATAATCCGAGAATCTGCATATTAACTTTACAAAGATTTGTTTGGTAATACCCGTTAGTATCTAAACCTAATAAAAACAAGAGAAAGCTTTGCATTTGAATACTTGCATCTACCAACGGAAAAAAGAACGAAATTGGAATCGATAAGTGTTGGAGGTTTCAGCCAGGTTTCTAAGTGCTGTTGCTTCGCTTGGTCACATGACTCATAGCCGCGGCTTCTGGTCGATAATGTTTGGAAGAAGCAGTCAGCACGCCGCTAATACTGATATGATGGAGCCCATGACGACGGTTAAGATATCCTTTCAGACTAATAATTATGCGGCTTGCTTTTAGGAAAATAGCTTTTAGAGATATACTTTACAGAGAAGGTACAGTTTTCGTTGAGTGTATTAGCTGCAGTTTGTGCAAGTATTTTCATATTGGTTTTCTTCAACTTGAGAGATCCAGCAAGAGGTGCAGGAACTTGTAAACTGCTCAATATAGGGATCAGGCTTGAACAATAATTTGATTTGTCTGCTGTTCACAATGCATATCAAGACAAAATTTTGCAGAAAAATTATGATATTTTGTGGTGAAATTTTTATTTTAAAGAAGCTATTTTTTTACTAGCAAAACTTCTATTATATTTTAAACGTAAATATTAAAATTGTATTGACGTTTGTGGTTATGTACTAAAAAAGTATTTGCTTGTATTTGTGATGCACGTACTCTGGTATTTAAGCTGCGATTACCTTCGACTTAATATTGAAAATAATGAATCGAAACTTTTCTGCTGAAAGGAGTATTTGGCTATTTATGAGGCCAAACGAGAGCTTAAAACAAGAGTTTAGGCATGTACCCTAGCATTCAAAACAGCTTGTGTCAGTAATTATTTCTTCTTGGTATAGTATGTGCTTATTGTTGCTAATGTTTTACAAATAGGAATGCATTGTCTGTTTTATAGCAGTATTTAGCAATTAAATTGAATTGGCGTCATTTTTTCAAATCATCTAATATAATCTATGTTTCTATAGAATTATCAGTATTCACTCCTTCCATTCTAAGAAACAAATTTATTAAAGCCATGTTAAATCGCAAAATGCTGTAGAACTTAAAACACGCCTTCAATCACAATATATGTATCCATTGTAAACGTGTTACAAACAGCTGCATTGTAAAATCTGCAATAATAATGTACTTCGTGTTATGTTCTTTTATACTATATTTTTAAAAATCGTCTAACATCTTTTGTGTAACGTTGAGAAATCATCTTAGAACTAAAACTCATCTTAATGCAATAAAAAAAAGACAAAAAAATTAGAAATATTTTCACAATTGACATCATCATATATGTCCTCTAGAAATTTTAAAATTTAATTTTATTAAAGCAGTACTTCAATGCAATTATTCAAATTAATAGTGGACGTGCCACCAAAAATACAGATAAATACATATTTTGAAGCAAAATTCAGTTACGGTAATGTACATGAAATAATAATCTAAAAATCTGCATGGTGTTTTTCTATGAAGTTATTTGTCTTCTTCTAAGTCAAGCCACATACTGAAGATCATTGTCTATTAATCTACCTAATTCTTTAATATTGTGAAATTATAAACTAAAGCAATAGAATATACAGAATTTGGGTTCTTCTGCTCTAAAGAATTAATAATATTAAGATTAGTCTATATAAAATCATCTAAAGAGGTGGATAATATCAATACAATATATGCTCCAGTCCATGCTAAAACATCTTGGACAAAACGCATATAAACGTAAATAACCCATGCTTGAATATGTTCTTTTCGAAATACCAAGCTCTTTGCAGCAGGGTTATAAAATTGGATGATAAAATCCCATTTAAATTGCGTAAATGGTTTATACCGTTGATGTATTTTACTCTAAGATATGTGTCCACTCATGCGAAATGTAAGCTAAAACTGAATTATTTGCGTGTTATGGGAAATATATGCGGTGATGGAAATGCGTCCGAAGAAGAAACATCTCCCGAGCCAGATGTTTTCAGGTCTAGGGATAGAACGGACCGTCATGAAAGATACCCTGGTATCCATTATCATGAGGAAAACCGCCTTCGAGATGGAGTTTTTCGTGGAAAGGATATTGATAATACAGAACCTAAGTGTAGTTGTTACGGGCCAACTCCTGATGAGCGCTTTTTTATACAACGTTGTCCTCATCCCCAGGTTCTAAATACAACCATATCTAAGGACCTCGCATCAGTTACCGAAGAGAGTAAAGCAAAGGCACAAGAACTAAGACAGGAAAGAATCCATCTCATCAAGATGAAAGTGAAAGAAATCACTGGAAAAGATGTTGATTTCGATGCAAGTAAGTGTTGTTTATATATTAGTAACTGAATGATGGGTAAAACATTGAGATTTCATGGACAACCAAATTATTGTCCAAATGCATTTAATTATAGAAATATTAATAAGAAAAAACATTAAGTTACTTTTACGCTCTGTATCTTATGATATCTAATTTTGGAACTTCAAGTGAGCAAAAGAAACTAAGCTTTCATGTTCAACACCTGTAAGATATTTAATATGAAATGTACCAACAATACAGTTTTGAACGGCTTTAGAAAATATCTAAATAACTGATCATGTTTTTTCTACTAAAGTTAAAACTTAAAATTGATAACAAATGTCCAACGCTGCTTATGGGACACCAATTAACACAAAGCATTTAAGTTAACAAACATACCATTTAAGTTACGCTTCCAAAACTTCTGCTCTAATGTATTCTTTTCTGCCTAGTAGCCGCTTTAAACAGATAAATCAAATCACTCACCATTTCTCATTAGAACAGCAGCTGCAATACACGATTTAAAGAATTTGATAAATTGCTGGGTCAACAGAAGTCCACCGTTGCTGATCCTTGCTCTCTAAATTCTAATTGCACTTATTGCTTAAACTTAATTTGATTTGCATTCACTTGCAAGATAATGGGGAAAAGATTATAAAAGAGGAATGAATTAAAAGTAAATGGTTATTGAAATAAACTTTGAAAATTGTTGAAATAAACTTAAAAGATTTTTCCTCAAACATAAAAAAAATTGATATAATGTTCCAGAAGATAAGATATTGTTGCAACTAACGTAAGTTTGAAGTTTAGGAAGATAGTTGTTAGTTTAGTGAAGTTTTAGAACAGCGGTTAAAGGATGTTTTTGATAAAATTACATTTCCATTTATTATATATATCATTTTCAGTTTTTGCCGTTATACAATGGAAGTAATAACGATCTTAAAACGTTCTCAAGCAGCCTCTTTAGGTCTTAAATATAAGAGGAATTGATGTTAAATTTTATTATGTAGAGCTAGGGGATTTCCTATTCATTTTCAAACAGAAAATTTGAATTACTATTGAATAAAATGTTTGATACATTTGCAGTGTAAACTAAAATACTTAATATTGCTACAATTACTCAGTGTTTAATAAAACACATGAATTCAGCTTATATGGCTTCAATAGATCTCTAAGAACTAATTTTATTTTTTAATTATAGGACATAACAATTTAAGAAGTGTTACAGCATCCTTTGTACGCAAAGCGTTATCTATACTTTAGATTTAACTTGGAATTTTAAAGCAGTTAGCGATAAGCTCTTATTAAATACTCTTTCCTTTCAAACCGTTAAGTACTCATTTTCTTTTACAGAATTAGTTGTTTACGTATATATCGACTGTTAATGTTCCTGAGTCTTTTCCTTGTAGTTAACTTGTGATTTAAAGTATTTTTGTGTTATTTCCATTTTACTTTTCTCTTTACGAAGGATTTTGAGCAGCTGTAGTAGATCTTTAATTGCAGCAAAATTACGCGTGATAAACATGATTTTCATGAGTCGCCATTTCTGTCACCAGTTTTACTATCAGAAATTTAATGACGAAGAAACTAGAAATTCATTTACAACAAAAGATAATAAGTTATGACCATTTAATTTCAGAAATGTTGTTTAAAAAGCACCTGCACGGAATGGATGACTAGTGGATATCATCACCTTCAAGGTTTTCCCCTTGTATCTCTACACGTTTACCTAATAGTATTCCCATTTCTGGAAACAGGCCTAGAATTCATTTTTTAGAATGTTGCTGAGTACCTGTCTTTTCCTAGATATACATCAGGAAATATTATGTTTAAAAATGGGCTTTTAATTTTGAAATTAGCCATTAAAATTAGCCAAAAACACAATGAGGTATGCCAGTTGAACAGGTAGGTAATGTCTCTTTTTTCCTCCAAAACGTCTTCCACAATGAAGTGAATGCGAGTGAGAAGCAAAGACTTGACAGAAAACTTTCTCGTGACACATTATTCAGTTAAAATTAGTCTATCTACTTCTTGATTTATTTGTAATTCTTCAGCTATAAATCTCACAACTATAATCCTTTTTAATTATATCGCAATTTTGTTAGGTTATTTGCTTCTAGTATCATCCGTCACATCTTCTAAATTTGATTACATTTATTATTTGATCCCATCATCTATATTATTGAATTGTACTTGATTCCTTACAGCTTTTAAGCGCCCTTTACTTTTTCATAGCAACATTTTAAGTACCAGTTCAAATATTCGAATGTTTCGGTAGCTTTTATTAATTTTTGGGCAAAATTTGACAAGACCCGCTCTAAATTTTAATCGCCCATTTTGACGTGGATGTGAACACAACGATACCTATTTTCTTCTCATGCGTTAACTAATATCTACTTTTATTAGCTTGAGATTTAGGTATGTATATATTCACGCATATTGAAAAAACTGCTAGCGAATTTTGATAAAATTACTTCACGGATAACGTTATGCAGCCGTTATGGGAATTAAAATATCATAATTTGTATCGTACACAAATATGCAGCAAAATTAATAACGAATTCGTGCAGGGACTGTTTAGATGATACAACATTTTTCATATAAAAAGGGAAAAGTAGTTTTAGTAGTGTTCCTGTTCATCCAAAGAGCAATGTTAAATATTTATTGCAAACTGGAATCGTAAATTCTAGAAATATTGTTCCATCTATAAAATTTTGTACTTTGCCTGCACATTTTCAATAGCCAGTAATACTTGTTGGAAAATAAAGTACATTTAAGGTAATAATAGATATATTTGGTATTCCAAATGAAAGAAAAAGGATTATTTTAGTAATGAAGATATTTTTATTGAAAAATGTAAGAAGAAACTTGCGTGTTGTAAACTCATTTAATCATAAAACGTTGGCGTTATATTATAAATAAGCATTCCATTTATTTTAAACCATTTTTCACATTATTTAGGGTCTTTTGACTCTGAAGCCGAAGACCTAGCAGCCGATGAACAAGTAGCTAAGCTTTTTGAAGCAGAAAGACTGGAAGGAAAGGTAAGTTTATCATTAAATAAAGATAAAATTTGTAGATTCGTTCTTTACTTGAATGGGTTCCTGTTTATTAAGTTTTTGAGCGAAATGTGCACATATATTCTACACTTTAGTACTTTTTCCAGCATACGCTAATTATGGCCATTAACTTTGCCACTTGTTTTTATTGCTGATTTGTATCGTCAATGATGATAATAACAGACTGCTATTAAAGAGAAGAATGCTTAGAATTTTGTTCAGTGTTTACTTAAAGTTTTCTGAGCATAGTCAGAAACGATGTAACATCAGCTTCTTAGATTTCGCTAGAAATTAGAACAGACTGGGCTGGATGCATAAATGCGCTAGTTAATTGTGTGAATGACGACATTACTATGATATTCTCGTGGATATCAACGTTGGAACTTAGAAAATGATATCGTTGCAGAAGTGCTACTTATAGTTTCGATGCAGAATAGCTGCTCTAAATGCGCTCGTTAATTATGTGATGATGACACTATTATGATTCCCTGGTAGACATCAATCCCGCAACCTAGAGGATAATATCAATGCAGAACTGATAATGACTTTATAACTTTTGTCACAGTATATAAAATGGGTCATTGTTCATTATCTCCAAACATCATGTAATTCAAGCCCACAAAATAAAAGACTGAAATATTAAGTTCACTGAAAATTAAAGCGAATTATTTCAGTCTTTTGCACTTGCTGTTGAAACGTTGTATGCCAACTCGCAGCATTGCTCGAGCCCATTATTTAACAAAGACCCACATTCTCAACGAATATCTTGTACTTGTTTCTGACATAGTGCCTTCCAATGATGATCATAACTTATCTATTGCTGCTCAAAATTTTCAAAATATATTTAGCAATATGTCAAGAAAAATCACGGACTGTGTTATGAAAGTTTGTAATGAAACAAAATGTTGCAAGAAACTCAATGATATCTTTAAACGAGTGTTATAACTTCATAATTAAGAAACCTCTAGTGGCGAAGAAACTAGACAAGAAGCATTAAAATGAATTAAAATGTTCAAAAGCAAAGAATCAGAAGTGTTGTCTCAACTGGAAGAAGAAAGACCAGAGCTATACTTCTCTCATTTTTGGTAAACTATTCGTTAAAGTACACATATTCGTACCTGTTTGGAATGCCTTTAAGTATAACTGTCTAATTATTTTTTTATTTTACATATTTTAAGCAATATTTATAATTAATTTTCCTTCATAAAAAATAGCTATATAACTGCAGCAAGTACGTGAATGTTTAACTAATAATCGAAATATCTTTTCAAATATAAATTAAACAACAAGTAAAACAATATATATAAAAGTTATATATGAAAAGGACAAAAATGTTACATATACGGTACAGTTCATTCCGTTACCACGGATTATAAAAAAATCGATACAATTTAAAGTAAGTTAATAAACTTTAGATTCTTTCTGGAAGACGATTTTGAGACATAAATGTACTTTTAAATGTGTATGATGAGAAAACTTTTAAAACAATGATACATTCACCCCATACAAATTCAAAGAAAAGGAGAATTCAAAATACGCCATGAGTATAAGAAAAACAACAGCTTTACTGTCAAATGTTGAAGACACTAATCGCTTTAGAACATCCAAGTTTGAAAGTAACTTTCTGCACGCACAGCTACAGAACACAGCACTTAATCATAAGCACTTGAAGTCTACGTGCATTGAGGCGGTGAAATATTAATGAGGAAATTTCTAAGATATGAAGCCATTCTTTTATCTTGATGACAGCATTGATTTCTGATGAGATATTTTTTGTTCACTTTATGGGATAAGATATTTGAAGATTTTATGCCGTTTCTCTCTTAATGGAGCTGCCATCCTCCCAATCGATGCCAACACTTAAACTAACTGTAAACTAACTGAATGCTCTATTTCTTTCTGCAAATAAAATACGAGTATAATGCAAGCGTTATCAGACGCTTAGTCTGAGAACAAAACTGAAAGGAGAAAGTAAAATTTGAGTCTCTAAAAGCTGTACTATTTGTGGTAAAATAGGAAAAACAGAAATTCGATTTCTTGCTTTGATATCATAAAGTGATGTTCAGATCTAGTTATCGAAAGTAACTCATTTATTTAAACTGACAAAGGAATTTTTGTTTACAGATTTCTTAAGTTTTTGGTAGTCTTAAGTGCATATTTCTTTCGCTTTTTTTCGCCATTACTTGATTAATGTTCGAGAAATTTCTTTTGCAGCGCGCCCAGACAAATCTGTAAATGCCTCTTACCTGTTTTACTGTTTCCATATGGCATTTTACTATTATTTTAAATTATGTCTGGATATTTTCAACTAGAGAAAAATGAAATTTAAAACTCATGCTAGAAGTGTGTTATCCAGATAAAAAGGCCATTGGAAAATTTTTTAGACTGACACCATTTTTCTTTCCCGATGTCAGGTAGGGTAACCCTGTTGTAGATTTGTGAAAAAAAATTTTATTTAAAGATTTCTAAAGTTTTACATAGTCTAAATACATACTCGATTCGCTTATTTACCTAATACTTGATTAATCTTCAAAAAGTTATCTTTTTACATCTATGCGTCTGAATCTGCAGTTCAACAGCCATGAATTTCAGTATTTGGGCTTGATGACTGAAAACGTCAGAGACGTTTTGCGTCTTTGAGAGTATTATCTCTCTTTGCATATTTAGATACATAATTATTTATTTCAGAAAATTACTTAAAATGAATTAATTCTTATGAGGAACTCAATTTCATCAGAGAAATCAGACGTTTCTTCACAAAATGAAAGTTTTGCTGTATTTTTAATTATGTGCTGTTTGTTTGAAAATCGTCAAGGAAACTTTTTCTACTTCAAATTTCTTTACAGTTATGCCTTTCTGATAATTCCCTTGAAAACCAAGGGAGCAATTCTTGTTGAATTATTGAATTATTTTATCTTTCATAGCTTATAAGTTTAAATAAAGCATTTTAATTGTAGATTTTCATATTATAATTCGCGGAATATAATCTTCAACTAAAGCTGATTTCAACAAAGGAAAGTTCTAATAAACGCATGAATTTGTAAATAAAATAGTTTAAGTACTTTAAAAAATAAATGTGAACTGAAATTACAGCAACGCCCTCCAGACCGACACTATACAAATTCCAAATAAATCTACTTATATAAAAATAATCTTAAATTAACACGAGGAATGACGAAAGGTAACTTCTTCCTTAGATTAAATTAAATGATGGCATTATAGCAAACTACTCTTCTCTTTCAAATACTAAAATACTAGATCAGCTAGCTAAAAAGTTTTCTTCACTTGTTCCAGTGTTTGCTAAAACAACAGAGACAAATAGCCAAAGCATTGAATTAATGTAATCGAATTTCTCATTTACTTATTCTGTAAGCAGTTAAAGGTGTCCTTCTCACGTGAGTTAATAGTCAGTTAGGAAACTGGGATGATTTGAGTTTGATTCCTTGCAAAAATCTAGCTAAGTTGTTTAAAATTCTCTCTTTTCTTATACAAAAATCCTGTAGTTTATGCTTGCTTTTAGTTTTTTGCTCCTTTTATATAATCTTTAATTTACATATTTCTCGGGCGAGGTGGAATAGAAGATGGGGCAAAATACAGCCTAAATGCCTAACTGGTTAGCTAAATTATAGCTGCTTGTTTTTGCAGATTTTCACTAGTGAATGAGAGTATAAGCATATAAAAATCTTTACATGCACTGCAAAAGTGTGTTGCCTTTCAATAATGCTCAATGTTCTGAGGTCAGGCCATTTAGCATCTTTACTGAAGACGAATATTCCCCTAATGTGTTTTTCCATAACTAATTGATTTTTTTAATTTAGATATGTGCTTTCAGTTGTACTTATAATAAAAACAATTCATGTTTTATTTTTTATGGAATAATTCATACATGCAAATATTTAATAACTCATAATTACTTCCCGATTGCTACTTAAATTTCAGAACCAAAATTTTTTGACCGCAAGCTCAACTTTGCCTCCAGCGCCTACACCTGTACCTGTGTCAGATCTCGCACCAATACCTAGCAACGAAGAAATATTTGGTAAGTACATAAATATCATTAGAACTGCTTTTTAAGTATGTTATCCAAAATATCTTCTTATGACTTTTTTTATTGTTGCCACTTAATGTCTTTCAAGAACTGTGGGAAATGAAAATCACTAATGCAGTTTTTCTAATTCATGTCATCCTCCTTGCATTCGCGCTAATCAGAATGATTTTTTTATTTGATTTTTAGTTGATGTTACTTACATACATAAAAACTGTGTGTTATCAACAAATGAATGGGAGAATTAAATTTGGAGTCAATATTTTGGATTTTTAACGATATTTTGTTGAGATGTAGTTCAAATTATGATTTTAGTTACAAAATATTATCCAGATTGCAGAAGAGTAACGATGAACATTTTTAATTCCTTTAGAGTTAAAACACAAGCTCTTAAGATAAAAATATTAAACCAATAAAGGAAACCACTCAGTGTTGTAGAGTCATTAAGTTTTCTGAAGATAAAGAGTAGACGTAAAGAATTTGCAGTGCCTTCGCCGGGACTCGAACCCTAGACCTTTTGAAATACGCGTAGAATACGCTTCCGATTACTCTATAAAGGAAGGTAGGAAGAGGGAAGAAAATAACTTATAAATTTAACCAGATTTTGAAAACTTGCTAGAGTTAAATCTGGTCTCCATCAGCTTTCGGTTGATCAGTGTCTGCATTTATTGATCGATCTCAGCCAATGTACTGTGATCCGAATGCTTCTCGGAAGTTTTTAAAATTTCAATATGTACAACATTTCTACGATTTAGCCTGAATATCTTGTACAGTCATCACTGTGCGCAAGGATCTGATTCCTAATTCAAGCAAAGAAGCAAGACGTTTCATTATGGACGATTCCAAATTCCTCGTAATTAAACTAGCCAAGGAAAGCTAGTAATATAAAGAAAACAAATTTGATATTTTTTGACATAATGTGAAATGTGCACCCTAGGGTTTCCGTCGCTCTTGAGAACAGACAATTAATCCCCATTTTTTATATTTAAAGGCTGCTGAGAGAAAACGATCGTTGCAGAAGCCCTAAGTTAATGGATGAGATCTAGTGTCACACCAAAACTGCGCTACAGCTGAAGATACAGCAGTTTTTATGTAATTCACAATGTTACTTCCTCTTACTTCATTGCTAGATTTAGAACCCTATGACTGTTTTTATATACCGATTGAAATTATTGCAATCATAATACAAACTGTAACATATCTACATTAACGCAGGACCTTACTGTTTGAAGCGAATTGTATCAAATTTATTTCAAATTTTTAAAATTCCTGAAGGTCTTATATGATTTCTTTTTAATGTTATTAGTAAGTCTTTTATATATTTAGCTCAATATATCATTGTTTGGACATTGATTATGCATTTATTGGGAAGTATAATTGTTTTATGAAGACTCTGCAGGAATGTCTTCCCGATCAAAGGTGGGTTGAGGTGGAATTGCTAAGTTATAATTCAGTGTTAAGTTTCAGATTTTACTGTACCAATGATTTGCTTATGCTTGCCTGAGAACGAGATAATTATGGACGGGCTATCTTTATCTCATACCATGGTGTTTAATTAAGAAGCTACAACAGCTAGAGAAACTTAGTATTGTTGACAATGTTCTCCATTATTTTATGCTACCCGTACTGTAACTAAGCATGTCAGTGCTATTTTGCCACTATTTATGCAACCTTCTTTATCATATTACAAATAGAAAATTTCATTTCATTTAAAAACGTCAGCTCAATGCTTAGATACACACCAGTACTGCTCATCCAGAGCTTCATGCGTAATGTCGACACCTTTTTGTCGACAGCCCAGTTGCCGACCTGTCTTTGATCGTATAAATGCTTGAATAAGGAGCACGTAATCTACTTAGAATGCTAATTAATTTATCAGCAAATTGGTCAATATATGGGACTTGGCAAATTAGGATAATATATTCTCACTAATTGCTAGTTACTATATCTGTACGTATTGTTGTTACATATCAGGATATTATATGCGCACAGGCAGCTAATTTCTATATCTATACTGTGACATCTAGTTATTATAGCTGAGCCAGAAATGGCACATTATTGACATTTTTCTCTTATGTAGGGGGATCGCTTCATAACGATCCCTCCGGCAGAACAGTGCCGCACTCTTATGCAGGTTGGACCCTGTATAAAAAGAGCGATATCTTCATAATGATGCCACGGCATAAAGAAGCGTGAAAGAACTGAAGATCAGTCTCTCGCAGTTACCACAACACTTATGGCAAACCGAAGTTTTTAATAAACGTGCACATCTCCGTTCTTTTTCGGGAATAGCCAGCTTTGCTTTCTGGAAGCGCAGATTTCAAACGCTGACTAAACTAAAACAGTGTTTCCCAAACATAGGTTGCGTCGTGAAATAATTTTCGTTGAAGTATATTTAAAAAGAGAAGCTATATAGAAAAGTAAAAAGCTGAAAGATATTTAGAAAAAATATTCATTATCAATCAGTTAAAATACTTTTTTTCTTCAGGACCACATTATTATTTTTTTTTTCATATAGAGCAACATTTTTCTAGAGAATTCTTAGAAATCAATTTTCTCTTTTTTTGCAGAGAGTTCGCAGGTCGCAAAGCTAAATTTTGGGAAACACTAGAATGAAACAAATATTAAATTGGGGAGGGGATTCATAATATGGCAATAATAATATTGAAATGCTTTTTTATATTTGAAATCGACATGTACATTGATAGCAGAAAGAAAAATCAAGCAGGATATTTAAACTACTATATAAAACGTATGAAAAACTGAATATTTGATAGCATATAGAAGATGTCGTGTATATTCTTTTTGGATTCCAAAACGAAAGATTTAAGTAAAAAAATATGTTATTCGTACTTAACCCATATGTGAGCAGCAGTTTGTCAGTTCGGGGAAGACAAAGTTTGATTTATTAAAATAGCTGAGTCCTCCTTCGACAAGCACAACCTCAAAAATTGTTCTGATTGACGAAAATTTCACCCCTCTGCCGGTTCTGCTTTTTGCATGAAAGTACCGGCACCTTTATGTCATTTCACCATTTTTCATAAATGGTAGGCAGCTTTATAACAATTCAGCGTTTTTCATAAAAGTGCCGAAGAGTTATTTCTTCCCCTGCTAAATTAATTAATCAGTAACTGAAACCACAATTTTATTTACATAAGAATTCGCTCAACTTTGTGTAAAAAACGTCGAATTAGTAATGATCAATTTCAAGCAAGAAGGTGATCTTCAGTTTATGCACGCTCTCCTATGCTACGGCATCGTTATGAAGATTTTTGTCTTTTCGAACACTGGTCGACTTACCTAAAGGTGCGGTACCGTTATGCAAAGAAACTGTTATGAAGGAGACCCAAAAGTAGTTGTTTTTCCTAAATCAGCATAACTCCTAATGCTTACTAAAATTATGAAGATTTTAGTTGTTGTTGTTGCTCGTATAAGCAGCTTATATGAATTTTCATCAGGTCTAGATTATTCCTACTGAGTGTATTTTTTAACCCCTTGAAGAAATGTTGTTTACAATCATTGGTATATGCTTTCTGTTTCATGCAGAAATTAGAAATGCAAGAAAATATTATTGTCAATAGAGGATGCATAAACTCGTTCATTTATCTTCGATGTTATAAAACTACGTTGCTTATTATCTCAGCTTTGATCATTTAAAAAACCATTTTATCTGGAGTTTAAACAGTATTTTGCAGCAAATGTTATTTTTTACCATGAATGTATAGTGTTGCGAGGCCCCAACTTGTCAGCAACAGTGGTAGTGACTGCTATGAACTGTAAATTACACAAACTCGTAAGAAAGGTTTAAATCCCTTTTTATTCCACTTTAGAAATAACATCTGCGTTCACTTGACGCTCACAAACTACGCCGACCCGGCGATTTAACAAAACAGAAATGTGAAACTAAAAAATAAATGACAGGATGAATAAATAACGAGATCACTACCTACGAGGCTCTAAAATCGTAACTAACTTAACCGCGTTCTAAGATACAGCTGAGATTCAGCGAGCTTACTGATTAAGCAGTTGAAGATTCAACGAACTGCCGAAATAGGCACACAGGCCGAAACGCGCAGTTCTTAAATTTCTACCTAGCAACCTTCACGCTCGCGATTCAAGAAGCACACATACAAACTCGTTTCCCTTCTACTTAAATTCAACTTACTTCTGCTAAAATTTGAGAGCCCACCAGCGGCCGAGCGGTAAAGTCGGTGAACACTGGTAGTTCGGTCCGAGGTTCGAATCCCGCGAACGGGCTGGCTGCATGGGCGTTTTCGTGGATTTCCCCATGTGTAACGTGTATACGAGCCAGTTTCCCTTAGAAAGTTCTCCACGAAAGGCATCCCTCCCCTTAGGCAGATAGCCCTAGTGTGCTTTGCCATAATTAAATACACCATTGCTAAAAATGCTAAAATTTGAATACTCTGCGCGTTCTACTAGAATTTACATACTCTGGCATTGGCAATTCTAGGGGAAAGTAAAGGCTTGACAGGAAAGATAGCTTAAAATTTAATGTTAGTTAAAATAAATATAAACCCTACAAATGTGATAAGCTTAGTAGGTCGATTATAAAATTTCTTACTTCTTGTGTATACTACAGTCTTACAACACAAGATTTCATAAGTGTAGAAATTTTATAATAATATATACTGATTTTAAAATATAGAAAATTTAATTATTTTAAAGCTAATTTATTCCAAATTACAGGACACCAAACATCACTATGCATTTTTTTCTTTAAAAAGTATTTTTTATATATATTTTTGTATTTTTATGTTTATACATAACTGCAATTAAAAAACAAAATATAGAAACGAAGACGGAGTTACAAAATCAAAATTTGTTTTTAATTGAATTTTAGTTTTACTTATTCAGTTTTGAAAGTTGTCAACAGTATTTATTGTTTTTATTAAGAAGTGAAGTAAAATAATTTTATGAGTTTTATAGTTGCTATTTTTTATTTTAAAGAAATTTTAAGGGTAAACCTTTCTTCAAAGCCTTAAACTGTAATCTTTTGAACTGCAAATGTTTCTTCGTTTTTGATACAGATGAATACATGTTTTGCATCCTTGATAAAAAAAAAAAAAAACTAAATTATTACTCAGCATACTCAAAGGCTTAAATGTGCTAAGAAATCATAACTTGCAATTGTTTATCACAGTGTGTGGTAAGTACTGCTTTCATTTTAGCTGCTTTTACACCCCCAGAACGAAAAAAAATATTGTAGATGGTAGATAAGCTATCTTCGAGATATTTTTTTTTAATTAGAGGTAAAATCTGAGTGCGCGACTATACACGAGAGCGATTAAATATACGAGAGAATATGGTAGCTTTAAAACTTTATAATTAACTATTCAGTTGCAGTTCGAAACAAAAAAATTTTAATTCTAAAAACGCGTGCTAGTAAATTAATTGCACGTTTTAGTAAGAATTTCAGAATAATTGATATTAAATCAGCATTTAAAATTAATCTATTTCACTGATAAATTTTAATGATTGACTAGATTTATTATACTGCTTTATAATTTTTCTACAGTCAGTGCTTGCTCTAAATCGCTCATTATAATGATCATTCTAGAACAATGATTTGTGTAATGCCCTAGATATTTTACCACCTATGCTATGTTACTTTTACATCTGATATAAGTCGCTCAACCGGAATAGTGTTTAGCGACGCTGAGCGCCGTACCGAAGGACCCAGGTTCGATTAGAAACCTGTAAATGTATAGTGGCTTTGCGGCATTATGATACTCTAAACACGCTACTAGCTGAAAGTCCTGTTGAGAGGTTGATGGTAGAGAAAGAGGAGTGGGAGACTCTCGGACTCATACGTCCGGCGTACTGTTCGTCAAAACTGGGAGGGGAACTGAGCAAAGTCGTACTGTCACCTTTATAGTGCTCAACGCTCTCGCCGTGGCAGTCTTGCACTCCTTGCCACGGTGAATTTCCTCGTATGCTTATTCTGATGTTACTGTCAGACAAGTGAAATAAGTCACAACAACAACAATGTCTGATGCGAGACTGCCTGAATCATGTGTAACTAAGAAACATCTAGAGCATCTTTAACAAAGAGCAAAATGAAGAACCTAATGGACAAGAATGTGACTGATCCTTTAATCCAGGAATGAAAATATAAAATTGGGTTCTGCCTCTCTTGCATTTTCAGGAGACCTTCAACTTAAAACACAAGGTCAGTTATAAATTTTCGAAGCTCCTAAAATGCTAGACCCATCACATATGCTTTTTGTATAACGCCATAAATCTATCTATCTAAAACATGTATTTTGTGAAGAAAAGACTGGAATGTTAGTTAAAGTGATATCTGGTATATATTTAGATTTTGAAGAGAAAATGAAATGCTCTTCGCCAATATTTTAGGTACAAAAAACTTTCTCTGTTAGCGATTGGTAAACACAAATACATTATGCTCTCAAAAGGTATTGAAAACCTTAGATGTTACTCTAAAGAAATAATGCAAAGTAACGGAGGAGTGCAAGCGTTTTTGAGAAAGGTTGAAGTAAAATAATCATCATAATTAACAGTTACGTTGAAGTGTTGAACCGACATGGATAGCATAATTGTCAGTCCTTTTGTGTTGAACCTTGCTGCGAAATGAATCCAAAATGTTTTTACCGGTTTGAGTAAATGAGATGAATGCGAGTTTTAATATGTAGCGATTCTCTTTCCTTGTTGCAGTTAATACAAAAAACTGCTGTTGAAATTCAGGTTATTATTAAAGCCTTACAAGCTCTTGGTACCTATCAGCTTTCACTTTGTTTATGTTCGTAGACAAGGAAAAATTTGGAAATGAGAGGGCTGATGCTCTAGCAAAGCTAGCGACGGAAAGTCACGTTGATTTAAATCTCCATATTCCATTCTCTCACTAAAATCGCTTTTCAGTTTTCTACAGATCTTAGATGAAGTCGAATTTTGTCAGAATATGACCACTTTAAGAACTATTTAAAACGTTTTGGGCTTGCTTCAAGTGCTTTGTGCAGCTGTGGTAATGGTGATGAAGATATAAACTATGTTCTTCTTGAGTGTGTTCTTCATGCCCAACATGTGAAGATACTTCAGACCACTTTAAAGCACTTGGTTTGTCTTGGCCACCGATTTTTTCTGAATATTTACGGACTAAAACGACAGTTTCTGCTTTTCAGAATTTCATTATCAGTTTAGATCATTGAAATATTATTTTATTACTTTATTTTAAATTTTGCTTTATTTTCCTATTTTTTACCTATTTGTTTTTCCCCATTCCTTTTTTCTCCCAAGTGCTGTTGGGCTTTTGATTATTTATTTCATTACTGCTATACTTAACTGTGTAAATGTATTTTTCAGAACACGAGGAGATGAAATTAAAGTTTTAAAAAATAAAACTGTAAGAAAATATGCCGTTTTAGCAATACTTTAAATAGCAATTTTAAAATGTTCCATTTATTAGGTCAAGATATATGTTTTGCATCAGCTTGCCCCGTTTTAAGTTTCAAGTTTCTTTTAGCAACAACAGAATGCAAAACAATTCAGTGCAATTGTCTTACCAACCTAATTAGCACGGCTTTCTCCTTTTTGTCTTTATTTATTTAGCTTTCCGACGTAAATTATTCGTAATTCTGAATAGAAATGTGAAATGATTTGGCGATTTTAAATTTTGTATTATTCCTTGCAGGAAAGATCGATGAACTGAGGAGAAAGCATGCTGTTGAAATGGCTGATTTTGAAAAGGCACAGACAATCAACAAAGCCCGTACAACGCAAGGTTTACAGGAGAAGTTACAAGCAAGAAGAAGTCGCAGAAGTCGGATGCAAAACCACGAAAAAGAAATTGAAGCATTACAATCTGCGTGATACTTTAAATGTCTGAAAAAATGTGCGCTTTCATAGAACTGTTCCTCTGATTTTAAATATAGAAAACTTAATTATATTTTAAAGCTAATTTATTCCACAACATTATTTTAAAACACAAACTTAAGATATATACAAATTACCTAAATTAATATATCTCTAAAGTTAAATAAATATTAGTTACTATGTTTGCATTTAATATTTACACAATTTAAATTTGAAACGTGCTTTTGCTTACACAAATTTTATTAAATTTACTATTATATTTACTCTCATCTGCATTTACACAATAACTTACGCAAGTAAAAAGGTTTTGTGAAAACCAAAACTTTTATTTGCTTTGACAGATTTTTTTTCTTTATTTCTTTGGTCAGTACCTGAAAATATACTGAGGAGATTTATTTAGCATTTTTCATCACTGAAGTTCCTGTGCTCTGAAAACATCTAATATTTTATAAATGTTGCGATTAATGTATTAAATTATATGTGGTTCCCTACAATGAATGATTGTGATATTCTAATTTCATGGATAGAAAATTTCTACAAATTTAGATTATATAGGAAACGTTATTCAGTTGTGTTATTTAAAAGTGAGAAGATGTATTCCTACAATTAGCAATACAAACATTTATGGTCCTGGAAAGATGAATTTAACACAATAAAAAAATGGAAATTGTTTTTACCCAGAGTTCATGTTTATGTTTAATACAAACGTATAATTAATTATGTCTGAAAAAAGAAACAGCAAAAACGAAAAGTCATATTATCATAAATATTACTAAAAATTTGAAATTTAATTAATATTTTAACTGAAGATATAAAGAAGAATTATTATTTAATAATAATAATTTTCTTTGGACCGTGATTCTTCTCTTTTCCTCAGATTTATGCTACATTATGGTCCAAATGTATTGAGGACGTCGATCAAAGAGTGCCGTCTACTAATCAGATAGTAATGTGTAACTACTTTTACCATTTGAAGTTTATAAACCAAAATATGAATTCATATTTTTTGTGTCTCCGCGTATCCAGACATGATTAATTTAAGACAGGTCTCCGGGAATGAATATTGGGATTTCATGAGGTTTCTGTATAAAGAGTGTATTTAGGGAAAATGAAGGGGCTTTTATTTGTGAAATTCAAGAAGTTTGCGCTCATGTGCGTTATGTACATATGTCTCATTGTATATGAGGCCACATACTTTGTAAACGGTTGCAAAAATCACATAGCTGTCAAATTTCGATCTGTCAACATCTGTGTGATAGCAACAAGTTCGAGATTATCCTAAAGTCAGGTTCCAGCGAATCCAGTAAATACAAACGGAAGATGATGAGTTATAGAAGTAGAATGTTTTTCAATCAGACAGCCGTTCCACTTTGGGAATCATGTGAAAGACAGTTTGAAAGCTTCATATAAGCCCGCAACCTCTCAAGAAGTACTGATCTTACTCCAATAGAGTTCTTCCTTGGGACAACGTTGTCAAAAATGAGACTGACAATAAAAAAAAATTGATAGTTTTAACCATCTTAGGGAAAGAATTGCGCAAGTATTAGATTAACACGTTGAGCGCCACGTCAGCCATTTGTGGCTGACACTCGACTTTCCGTTTAGGCCGCCTCAGCCATCAATAGCTGACACTCGACTTTCTGTTTAGGCCACGTCAGCTATCTGTGGCTGACACTAGACTTTCTGTTTAGGCCGCGTTAGCCATCTATGGCTGACACTAGACTTTCCGTTTAAGCCGCCATTTCCGAGTCATGCCATTCTCCAGCAATCTCCTCCTCGTCGTCAGAAGATGATAAAAATACATCCTCTCTGGGCAGTTTTCTAGCAAGAATAATTTCACTGCTGCTATCGGTTTCATACTCTAGAACTGGCATTTTGACGCTTAGGTTAAAGAAAATTTTTGTTTGCACGGGGCCAAGAACTGCAATGACCTGGTTTGTTGTAAAGGGGACACCGGCCACGAATCTCTTTCGATAAAATGTTATCTAGTTGGCCAAACAAAACAAACAAATAAAACAAAACAGATTTGGCGCATTACGTGTTGAATGAATGCCTATAGGAATCGCGTTCCAAACGTAAACTATCTTCTACTGCTATAAAAATCACTGGCTCTACAATACCAGCGCTTTTAAGCGGCGCGCGTAGCCTGAACGGGATTGCCTAAGAAATACGCGTGGCGCTCAACGTGTTAAACAGGTTAGGATTTCTGTTGTAACTGGAAGCTCAAATTTACTATACAAACAGCAAGTTATTTCTAAGTCTTAAACAACTCACAAAATACTGAAGGAGGTTAAAATAACCTTTTTATTTGGTCTTAAATATAACAGAACATGCACAACTTCTGCTACAGACAAAATTTCCACTACTTATAGATATACGTTAATATAAAAGACAATAAAATTCAAATGTTGATAACTAAATCTAAGATTACACATAGAATAGGCTAAGGTAAGCTGGCTAAGATAATTATGGACGCATATTTTAAAATATCGGTTTTCAAAATGCTAAAACCAGAATATCACTTTTAAACGGAGCTGGTGAAACTACTAACAGCAAGGAGCGTTTGCCAGAAGCTCTAAAAATAGCAATTCAAAATCCTGAATTTAAATGCACAAAAGCTTATTTGCATTCTGGTGAGGAATACAAAAAGGAGAAGTTAGAGTAAAGGTTTTAAATCATAGTAACTGGTCAATTAACTAGTAATATAACCTTACAACATTCTTATCAGAATATGGATTGAAAGAATGTGAAAGACTAATTATTGAAACCTTACATAAGTATATTTATATAATCTATGAAAAATGAAATGGTACATTACAAGATTTGCATGAGATATAAGAGAAAATGAAAGCACAAAAACTAAACAATGAATGAAAAACAGAAGCACAGAATACAAATTATTAGCACAAAATGTAATGCTAGACGACGAGAAACATTGAAAAACATCACGTTGGATTTCATAACAATAAATCTTGAAAAATTTCCAACATTTCTTATTTAATTCTAGTTTTTTGTTGCAAAAATTAACTAGTTGGCAAAATCATAAGAAGCATACATAGTGAATGCAAAATTGTAAACTGAACTAATTTTTAAAAGTTAAAATTTTTTTTGACTCAAAAAAGTAAAAAAAGAAGAAAGTAAAACCTCTCTAGTTTCGAGGTCCATTTGACTTCCTTGTCGCAAAATTCATAAAAGTATGCATACGTAATTTGATGCGTTGGCACTTCGGTCACGTACTGTAGTTATACTCTTCGTGGAGGAAAATTATTATATCGGCAAAAACGTCACATGGAACGACATTTAGCCCAAAGTGTAGCTGAGCCTTTACGTCTTTTCCCTTACAAATTATTTTATCATAAGAGTTTCCTAAAAACTAAACTGCCTACAAATGTTAAAATCAAACCAATGTTTTTAAATTTGTGCTTCTATAGTGCTGAATATATCTTTTAGACATTTTGGCTCAAAACTTTAACATCCATAGATGTATAAAGTAATAATTGTACATCCCTAAGAAAGTAATGTAATGTTAAGGAACTTTGATTGTATATTTGTAAGACTCAACTTAGACTATATAAAACATTTTCCATGCAAAGCAATTTTTTTTTTACTATTTGTCATAATTTAAAGGAAAACTATCATATAGTAAAAGCTTATTTTATCCGATTCCTTTCTTAATTTTTCAGTTTGGAGCCATTAATTTAAAACTAGCTTTTCAAGCTGTTATATGTCACACAATATTTGAAATACCTCATATAAAATGAATTGATAATTGTAAATATGTAAACAAAGTATTTTTCTTTTCCGGTATTACAACTTTTTAATAGTGTTGTACGCATTTGTGAAGAATTTTATCTAAAAATATAGTCATAATAAAAACAATCCGTTTTAGTTTCTGTAATTGGTAACATATACTATGTACCTTTTCACTGTTGTATTCAGAAGCTAACAATAATACACAACCACAGTAAGTGTATGCTTATTTATTGTCATAAAGGCAATATCATGTATCGATACCTCATTGCAGGAGGTGCCAGAAAATTACTTCTGGTGTTACAAAATGGGCTTGTAGCTAACTTCCTAATGAATTTTTAACAAAATACGCAGCTTTTTTTTATATTTTCTTTAGCAATCTTTGTGTTTTGCCAATATATTTTTTATATAAAACAATGGGTCAAAATTTTCCGTGGGAACAGGGACTTTAATGCTGACTTACAAATAAAAAATACGTTTTAATTGATCAGAGTGTTATTGAGAGCTTTATTTGTAAAAAATAATTTTAATAAATTATAATAAACTATACTAATAATAGATGGTATAATAAGGTTCCTACCTAGAATTTACAGCCAAGTGTGTGGAATCTTGAAAACCGGTAAGCGAATAATCACTTTAGCTCAGAGAACAGAAACTCAAGAACGGTTAATTACCCTTTATTGTTCAAAATAAAGTTTACAGATGGCTCTTTCTCAGGACGTACAGAACAGCCTCCACTTGGGCCTTTAACTCAAGAATACTAAGAACTAAACCAATGCTAAACTAAAAAGAGATAACCGAAGCTATCAAAATTCTACAGGAGTTGGCCCCTTAAACGCTAACTAAACGGCGAAGCTATCACGGGTCTGAAATACGGCCGAGCGTAGTAATAACTTAGAGAGAAGTGTAGCCAAAAGGCGAACGCGCGCTGTTGAGAATCTCTGGCTCTCTAACGAAGTCAGAGGAACTTCGACTTTTAAGTACTGCTCTTCCTTCATTTGCATTTAACCGCGATTCTGAAAACACATTCTGGTAGAAAACTGTAAGCTTAAATTAGGAGCGTCAGGAAAGTGGCTTTAACTAAAAATAACTGTTAACAACTTAGGATAAACCTTACAGTATAATGGGTTTAAAGCAGGTAACAGAAGCAGCGTAATATATGAAATATAGAAATTTTGCACTTAGAGGTAACTAAAACTGTCTCTTAAACGAATGTGATATATTTATTTCAATGTTTAAATTATTCATAGCAATTCAAACATGTAGCAATAATTCCAGAAACCATGCTCTGCATTCGCCTCTGAAGTCAGATTTCCGCAAAACTACGATCTAAGACATATAGCGCATAAAGTATTTAGTCTGAAAATAATTTTTAAAATGTAGGCATAGTTCATATATAAAGTCAATCAATATAACTATATGAATTTTAAATAACACTTCGTGTTAATAGCTACGCACACACATACACACACACCCTCGCGCGCGCATACCATGCAGGGTATGGATACTTGCCGAATACAACACTCCGAATTTCAAGCTTACGCAAGGACTTCCATTTGGAAGCTCTGATTTCGAATTTCTTCAGCATAACAGAGTGCGAAAGTGAAGTTTTGTGTATTGGTTTTTTTTTAAACACTGAAATAGGGTAAATGTGAAAACATCAAATTCAAAGGAACAATTGTTGATGCTTCTCTGACCAATGCATTGGTTGTATAAAATAGGTCATTTGAATGTATTATATACAGGGTGATTTTAAATTGCTTTTACAAATTAAGAGGGGTGATAGTACTCATCACGATGAGCAATAGTTACCGTAGAACATAGGGTCGCATTCCACTCTGAGAGGCAGAAAAGAGGAATATTTGAATTCCAACCTGAACTTGCAACAATGTTGGGAAAGCGAACGAACGAGAACTAAAGTTGCAC